ATTCCTGCTTGACTAGGCATTATTCTAATGTCTGATTTTGCTAATGCTATCATGCCTGTCTCTACACCTACCCTGACCCAAGCAAACCCATCTTCACCACTGTAACTTGCTCAGCTCTTCACCTTGAGCCAGCCTTGACCCTGGAGCTGTACCCTCCAGATCCACCCTTCTGTTAAACGAAGGGGGATTCTTTACAGCACACTCCCATGAGCAGGCATGCTGTCGGTGATTTCCTCAACAGAACTGCGCTTGAAAACGTTTCACCAGACATGGGCACTAAGCCTCAGTTTTCAGAAACCACACTCACTGCATTTGCTTTGGATCACTTCCCTGCACACGTATATCAATCCAGTGCTTCAAGGATGTACCTCATGTGGAGCATGACTGTGCAGCACATACCTACACCTACAGATCCATTTATTCTCACTGATCTCAGTCTTACAAGGCAGGTGCTGGCAAAGAGATACTCTAACTAGCACAGAACTATCAATAGAAGTCCAGGAGTCCCAGCTCTGTCATTTAACCAAACAGCAAAGAGATGGTGCTTAACAACCACAGTACGCAACAAACTCAGAGGGAAAAAGTACCTTAATAGACACATACGTGCTATGTGGCTTACTAAAAGGTTGGTACAAACTTAAGCCTCCAAGCTCCTTCTACTTTTCTGTTAGAAGTCTTAAATTGTTAGAACTCTACTAATACAATCCATCTGGGTCATGATTATTAAATGAGTAATAATGCCCTAAAAAAAAAGAGTACACAATGAACTGGTAATCAGTAAGTACCCCAAAAGCACTAATAGTAACTCTTAACTCTTAAGCATGGGAGTAGGGGAAAAAAAAAAAAAAAAAAACGGTATTTCAAGTTTGGCCTGCGGAATTCAAGTTCTTTGATTGCCATGTTGAGCTTTTAGTCATAATTCCTACAAAATCTGGGTAAACAGTGGCTGCTGGAAAAATACACATCACTAGAGCAATTATATTCTTGATAGAAAATCATTATGAGAATATGCAAACAGTAAACTCTGTTTGTTTTCTATATCTACACACCAGAGGGAAGATACAATAAGATATGAAGACAGGTAAAGAGAACAAGAACATTACTGAACAGGAAGAACCCAAGAGAAACTCCTAGAACTACCAGACATGTATATTTAGTGTAAGAATACTGATAAGCGCTTGTGTTCAGTTATCCATGCTTTATAATTCAGTGGGAAATCTCAACAAAAAACATGACCAGGTATGAACTGTAATGCAGAACACATGGCTTTGACCGTAACTGACCTAAAATTTTCTGAGACCTCTGGCAGCTCAAAGACATACAGCTTCTCATTGCATATTCCCGTATCACAGTTTTTAAAACTTCTTCAGAGTTTACCCTCTTTGTGTTTCAATTTCCCCCTGAACTGTTAAATGACAATATTGCTACCTTTCTCCTCCTGTAACAGAAGGAACATCAAGCACTGTGGGAGAAGTTTGTGGCTACTGAGATGCCGAGTGTTGTAAGGTCTAAGGTCTTGTCCAAGATCAACCTCGAGCAATTTTAAAAGATGTGTCAGGTGTTACTTTCTCCTTAAAACTGTACATTTACTAACAGTGCTATAGCTATCATAAGAATACTCTGGGTTATAAGCAAGTCACCTACAACCCCAGAAGCCATCTTCTAGAAAGAACATACTTACAGGTCATATGAGAACTTCCTCTGAAGGTTAGTCTGATTTTTCTGAAACCAGTAAACATCCATCTGTAGCTTTCCATATTCTGTCTGTAACTCTTTCAAGTGTTCTGGCCAAAACAGGATTAAAATATATATTAAAGTACACACACACCCCCCTACATGTATTACAACAGAAGTATCAAACAACAGATCAATAGTAAGCACACTAACTCCGTCCAACTCTCATGCTCACTACATTTTGTATACAAATGCATAGGTAATTGTTGAATTTATTCATCAAAGATGCACAGGATTGGGTAAAAACAGCCTTTCAGCCTACCATATTAACAAAAACAGTGTAACATAGATTTTTTACCTCCTCGTCTTCACAAGGAGTACTCTAATTTGTTTGAAAACCCTTGCTCTGCTAGGTTTCAGCCCAGGAAGTTGTTAGATCTATGAAATATTAATCAGAACATAGTATGAAATGGCATTCATGTTTATTAGCCATCTAAAGACAAGCTTACAATGCTTCCCTGAATAATACGCAATTTACAGTTCTGTTCCTCAAAAACAGAGGCATCTATGATTTACAGTTTTCTTCCTGATTAGAAAGCTTTGTGTGAGGGCACCAGAAAAAAGCACCACAACATATTTACCTGTTTATAGAACTTAGGATCCATTCCCCACACTTCCTGAAGATTAAATTGCTAACAACAATTTTGAAGTACCAACATGAATAGAAATGAATTAGATCAAGGGGTTTTTTATTTAACGTAGGAATTTGTGAATTCCCCTGGTGCTAAAATGCACGACCCAGACACCTCAGGGAGGAATACAAGAGTATGCTGCAAAAGGTCAAATGAAGAATAAATATATATTAACAATACACACAGAAGCTAGTTTCATTCTGTACTACGTTATATCATAAGGGTCAGGAGTCCTACATAAAGCACTACATGGACAAATCCTTCTACTGTTGAGGTAAATTAGTCTGACATTTCACTGAACTGGAATCATACAGATGCAGGATCTAAGTCACTGAAGCTCCTGCACTGTCCCCATGACTTGAAGAAAGGCAGCATTCTCAGAATACACCAGAAAAATGCAAGTCTTAAAATCAGGGGCCTTAAAAAACCATACGAGAGAAATGCAGAGGGGTATTACAACATACCTCGTAGACTCTGGATTAATCGTTCATTTACTGTGATGTTAGTCACCAGCACTGCCTGAAAGGAGCAAAACAGAAAACAATGTTTTAATTGCAAAGGACCTGTGTTACCATTAATCTTATAAACAATACCACCAAAGCACCTGTAACAAGATCTTTTCTTTGCAAAGTGGTGGGTTACAGTCAAACAAAAAACCTTTTAGCTGCTCTAGATATTTCCTATTACAAACAACAAACACTTGTTTTAACTTGGATTTCCCAGTAAATGGTGGGGGGTATGGAGATATCACTGCACTTAAATAGAGCAGGAATTTAAAGAGTCCACTACTAAAATTGCATGCTGCTTTAATCTCACGATTGCAGTCACAGTCAGATTTACTGTATTTATCCCTTGAAGAAAGAATACAGCGTAGCACCACTCATTATCAACCATCCTCTCACCAGGGACTCAATACACCTGCATTCACGCATGCAAGGATGAGCTATGAAAGCATTAGTCATACAGCATAAAGGAGCTCTATGAAAGCAACATAAAGCCCTTGCATTGTATCACTTTTCTAACTATCTTTTCCATCACTTCGGTAAGAAAGTGTTGGAGTGACCTTCCTCCATTCCCTCACTTTGTGCTTTCTGTCATTCTGAAGAGCCAGTTAACTGCTTGGTAGAATACCATGGGACAAAGCCCTGGAAGGATGAGGGGCCCAAGACAGCTGCTAATATTCAAGGGTCACCTCTGCCAGGCTCAGGAGCGATGCATCCCATCAAAGAGCAAGTCAGGCAAAACCACCAAGAGGCCCCCATGGATGAACAAGGAGCTCCTGGGCAAAGTCAAACACAAAAAGGAAGCCTACAGAGGGTGGAAGCAAGGGCAGGTAGCCTGGGAGCAATACAGAGAAACTGTCCGAGCAGCCAGGGATCAGGTTAGGAAAGCCAAAGCATAGAAATTAGTCTGGCCAGGGATGTCAAGGACAACAAGAAAAGCTTCTATAGGTATGTCAGTGAGAAAAGGAGGACGAGGGAAAATGTGGGTCCCCTCCAGAATGAAACGGGTGACCTGGTTACCCAGGATATGGACAAGGCTGAGGTACTCAATGACTTCTTTGCCTCAGTCTTCACTGGCAAATATTTGAGCCACACTGCCCAGGTCACAGAAAGCAGGGATTGGGAGAATGCAGTTTCACTGCAAATCGTGCCTGACAAACTTGGTGGCCT